CTAACCACTCGAGTTTAGTTGCCCAGAAATTATGTAAGAGTCAGACGCAGTATTGTGTGATGGAGGAAGGTCATTGGCTAATAAAGGAACTGCCCTGGCCCATTTTATTGGTTAGAGGATAGGTGGGAGGAGTAAACAGAACAGAACCCTGGGAGGAAGAGGAAGTGAGGTCAGAGACTCGAAAGCTCTCAGGAGCAGACGCCTGAGAGAGACGCCATGCCCCGCTCCCGGGATGAAGCCCCGACCCAGGATGGACTAGGCTAGAATCTCCCCGGTAAGCGCACCTTGGGGTGCTACACACAGATGATTAGAAATGGGATAAATTAATATGTGAGAATTAGCCTAGAAGAGAATGGGCCAAGCAGTGATTAAAAGAATACAGTGTCCGTGTAATTATTTCGGGGCATAAGCTAGCCGGGCAGGCGGCTGGGGTGTTGGGGACGCAACAAGCTCCCACCCAACACGGCACAGTACACACATCCACACCAAAACAAGGAATTTTAGTCTGAATAGAGGCCACGAGGGAAGCTGGGAGTTAGAGTGGCCTTGAATAATTAGTATGTGGGTATACCGAGTGAGATATTGGGGGAAGCATACATGTGCTGAAGGCATTGTAGTTATTGCGGCTGGAGAGGCGGCTCAGTGGTTAAGAGCACCGATGACTCTTCCAGAAGATGGGGGTTTGATTTCCAGCATCTGAATGGCAGCTCACACTTGTCTGTGACTTTATTTCCATGGGATCCAGTGCCCCTTTCTAGTCTCTGCAGGCCCTGGGCACACCGAGGACACATCGACATACAAATAGGCCAAACATCCGTACACATTATAGTAATAGTAATAATAATAATAATAAAATTTCTAGTCAAATGATTTATCTAACTAATATGTATTGATCCAGTCGTACAGACACTATCCTAGACCCTAGGCAAACAGTGGTGAACATATAGGACTGGCAGTGTAGAAGGGAACCATGAAGTTCAGTTCCAGGGGCAGCTGTTCTCAGAGTATAGCCTCCCAGATGGCAGCGTCAGCACTAGCCGAGAACCTCTTAGAAAAGAGCATTCTGAGGTTCCACTTTAGACCTGTGCATTTAGAAACTCCATTGAAAGTCCTCAGTGTAGCTGCTTGAACCATTGCAAGGCATGCACAGGAAAAACCTGGGGGGGGGGGAGGGCTGGAGATGGAGGAGAGAAAATGAATGACCAGCAAAGCAGGGCGCAGGAGGCAGAGTTCTGCTGCCCAGATGCTGTCTGTCTCTGGAAGGTGTGCACACCTAGTAAAAGTTAGTTCTGTGTACTAAGAATCCCTTCAAACAGGGCGGTGGTGGCTCACGCCTTTAATCCCAGCACTCGGGAGGAGAGGCAGGCGGATCTCTGTGAGTTCCAGGACAGCCAGGGTGACACAGAGAAACCTGCTGTTGTGGAATAATAATATTTTAGCTAGGCATAGATGAGTTACATTTGTTTCTGCTGCGGGATCTGACTTTAATTGTGAAAAGATGAGTTACATTTGTTTATGCTGCAGGATCTGACTTTAATTGTGAAAAGATGTGTTACTTTTGTTTATGCTGCTTTTTTTTTTCAAATATTTATTTATTTATTTATTTAGTATACAGTGTTCTGTCTGTGTGTATGTCTGCAGGCCAGAAATGGGCACCAGACCTTATTACAGATGGCTGTGAGCCACCATGTGGTTGCTGGGAATTGAACTCAGGACCTTTGGAAGAGCAGACAATGCTCTTAACCACTGAGCCATCTCTCCAGCCCTGCTTTTTTTTTTTAACTGTGTAAAGATGTGTTGTATTTGTTTCACCTTGCCCGCCTAAGGCACTGAAAGGTCTAATAAAGAGCAGGTGGGCAGGAGAAAGGATAGGCGGGGCTGACAGAAAAAAGAAATAGGAGGAGGAATCTAGACTCCAGAGAGGACCACAGGGACACGCCCTGGGGCAAGAAGCCAGGTAGCTTCCAGGCAGCCGGACTGAGAAGCAGTGAAAGTTAGACACCTGGAAGGAAGGAGTAGTAAAAAGCCCCTAGGCAAAGGTAGATAAAGGTTAAGTTTAAGGAGCTAGGGGAAAGGAGCAGAAGCTAGACTAGTGTAGTCTCTGTGTCCAGTGCTGTGGGAGAGTCTTGTGAGTTCTGAGAAGAGCGGGCTGAAGAGGAAGAGAGGACTGGGGAGGAAGTGCTTGAAAGGAAAGGAAGGGTGAAAGCTTCCTGCGAGTTCTTAACTCTAACATGAGGGTCAGCACGCAGATGCCCTGAGAAGGACAGTGGTGAAGCCCAGATTGTACCTGGGGCGGTGGTGACTCTTCACACGCATCCCCATTTCCCCAACAAAGCTGTGGGACCGTCATGTCTCAGGACACACCAGGGTGCCTCTCCCGACTGTCTCGGGGCACACCAGGGTGCCTCTCCCGAGTGTCTCGGGGCACACCAGGGTGTCTCTCCCGAGCGTCTCCTCCACTTCCAAACTGCCCCATCTCCACACTCCACTTTTTCTCTCCTATGCCATCTTCTCAGCCCCTTTTCCCCGGTGCTGAGCATGGAGCCGTAGACCTCACGCACACTGAGGAAACACTCTGCGTCTGGGCTCCATTCCTCCCCGAAGCCAGTTCTCACTAAGGCTGTCTCTGGCATTGATGACAATGGTCCTACACAGACATGGTTTCGAACCCCATTTTTCTGTTATTTTCTGCGACATTTAACATCTCAGACTTCACATCTATTTCATTTACTTCCTGTTTTCACTCATCTAGCATATAAGTACCTCATCTCTTGGGGGCTGTGGTGGGGACAGGCTCGCTATAACCCAGGCTGTCTCAGGCTCCTCCCAATCTTGGGCCTCCTGAGAGTTTTGTAATGACAGGCACGTGCCACCAATTGCTTGCCCACGTCTTTCAAGGAAAAGGTGGGGTCACTCTGTTTTCCCATGAGATAATTAATCTATGATTTAAAAAAAAAATGTAGTTGCAACCAGAAGCCTAATCGTGTACCCGGGCTGCAAGAAGACCAGAAGGACAGTGTGTTTCGTTGTTGCTGTGATCAAACACTTTACAAAAAGCAGCTTAAAGATGGAAAGGCTTGTTTTGGGCTCTTGATTCATAGTGGGGACGGCACAGTAGCTTGAATGGCTTTGCAGATGGGGCAGTTAATCTTGTATCCTGCTACATTACTGAAGGTATTTATGAGTTGTAGAAGTTCCTTGGTAGAATTTTGGGGGATCACTTATGTAAGCTATCATATCATCAGTAAATTGTGAGAGTTTGACTTCTTTTCCGATTTGGATCCCCTTGATCTCCCTTTGGTGTCTTAGTGCTCTAGCTAGGACCTCAAGAACTATTCTGAATAGATATGGAGAGAGGACAGCCTTGTCTTGTTCCTGATTTCAGTGGGATCACTCGGGGTTTCTCTCCATTTAGGTTGATATTGGCTGTTGGCTTGCTGCATACTGTCTTTATTATGTTTAGGTATGTTCCTTGTTTCCCTGCTCTCTCCAAGACCTTTAAAAAAAATAAGAGCAGGTTGAGGGGGAAAAGGACCATCCCTGTGTCTCAACCACACGGTTGGTCCTCTTTGCCAGGTGCCACACTATCTCATGCTTTGGGAAACAAAGCAAGAAGGTCTCCTGCCTCCTTGGCGCTTACCTCCACAGGAAGGGCACGTGTAACCAGTGGGAGAGGCAGCAGATAGTCATTTAATGTGTTAGGAGGATGTTAAGGGCTCTGGAATAAAGGAAGAGAAGAGGGAGCAGGATTTACGACTTCCATCTGAGCAGGAAGGTGGAGGCTCTGCTGGGCCCAGACCATCCTGGACTCCAACAATGTCGCTATGTTTTACTCTGTAAGCTTCTGAGTCCAGCGCTTTATCTGGCCACGTGACCCGGCTGATCCTGCATTTGTGGAATGTGTGAGCTGTCAATTATCTAAACTGAGGTGTAAGATTCATCCTCTATTCCCAGACCATCGTCATTCCCAGTCTGCTTGACATTTTCTTATTGTAGCAAAACATTCCGTAGCAAGGAACTCAGCATCTTAACCATTTCTATAGTGTATGGTAGAGAGTAGCACCAAATGTCTCCACTGTGTGGAGCGCCTGTCGTGACCGGCTAGTTCCAGAACTGCCGTTGTCCACACCTGATGATCGGGCTCTCCCTGCTTCACTGGGACCCTCAGGCCTCTGAGGAACCACTTTTGTCTCAGATTCTCCTCCATTAATCTTTGATTATTGTTGCTGTTGTCGTTACTGTGTGTGTATGAGGGTGGGGGGGTGATGTGCCCAGTGCACCTGTGGAGGTCAGAGGGTAACTCCGGGAGTTAGTTCTCTTTGCCTTCTCAGGGACTGAACTCCGTCTTAGGTTTGTGCAGCAAGCACTTTCAATTCGCTGAGCCATCTAGATAGCGCGCCCCCCACCCCAGAATCTTTCAGAAGGAAAGGTACAGTGGTGCACACTTTTAATCCCAGCACTTAGGAGGCAGAGGCAGGCGGATCTCTGTGAGTTCGAGGCCAGCCTGGTCTACAGAGTGAGTTCCAGGACAGGTGTCAATCTCTTTACAGGGAGGTTGTGAGGATCAAAGGATAGAGATTTCACGAGGTTCCTAACAATGCGGTTCGCAGGGATGGTGTCCAGTAGACACCCCTCTCCCAGCCGTGGCCCCAGGACATCACATGGTTCTGTTGAATGGGTATGCCATAGCTCTCTGACCTTTCTGTGGTGATTTCTAAATTTAAACATGTTTTTGTTGGTTTGTTTTAATGTTGTTTTTTTGTTTTGTTCGAGACAGGGTTTCTCTGTGTGGCCATGGCTATCTGGAACTTGCTCTGTAGACCATGCTGGCCTCGAACTGAGATCCACCTGCCTCTGCTTCCCAAGTGTTGGGATTAAAGGCCTACACCACCATCACTTGTTTTAAATTTAAAATCTCAGATACAAGTTCTGTTATAATCTTTTCCCCAAATGTTCTGGAAAGCCTACGTTAAGCTGGAGGACTTGTGGGTTTGCCCTAGGCTCTGTCTGCCCATGCCGATCGACGTGGTTTACACCTGGGTGAATGGCACAGACCTTGAACTGCTGAAGGAGCTCCAGCAGGTCCGAGAACAGCTGGAGGAAGAGCAGAAGGCGATGAGGTAAATCCGCTTACAAAGGAGCCCGTGTGTGCTGTGAGCTCACATAGGTGTATGTCAGAGGTGGGCAAAGTGATACTCACAGCCAACTCGCTGTTCCCTCTCCCTTACCTGGAAGATTTGCTAAGCGCCTGCCCCCCAGCACACACACTCATTTCTTTATAAATGTCACCAGTACTTTCCAGTTAGCCATCCTCTGCACCACACACGTCAACGCCTTCCCTCTGCCATAAGCATTGTAACCCTTCCTATTGGCAAATTGGTTCCAGTGAAGTCACCAAGAAAGGCAACATTGTTAACTCTCCCTTGTTCACATCTTGGGCTAGCACCAGCTGATGCCTATGTTACAAACTGTGTTTGCTTTTTATTAGGGAAATCCTGGGGAAGAACACGACAGAACCAACGAAGAAGAGGTAAGGGTTTTAGTTTCTTCTCAGAAATAAAGCTCGAAGGCCAGAAACGAAACGTCAAGTCGCCACTTGTGGGTACAGACGGTTTTGTTTTGTATTTGCCCGTATTCAGCCCCACCCCTGCTATTTTTGACACCCCAATTAAGTGCATCCATTAAAGAGAATTTGCAGTGCTAAACAGCATGACTGAGTGAGCACGCAGGTTTTTGCGTTCAAGCCAACCAAATCCTGCTTGTTTTTGGCAAGCCCAGAGTACTCATTTATCTGTCTTGATGCGTTGTTCTCTTGGCCTCTTCAAACTAATTCTACCCTGTGTTTTGACTATAAAATTTGTGCCCATCATCTCTTTGTCCATTTGTAATCTCTCCTTATCTTTGGAAGCTGTCAGATTGTATATACTTAAGGACCCGGAAGGGGATTTAGCCCAGTGACAAGAACCAGGTACATCTGTCCCGCTAGATGTATTGGTTCCAAATTGGTTTCAATCATGCTTGGCTCTGATGAGTTCATAAAACCGCTCTGGTGGACAAGTAGAAACTGCTTCACAGCTTCTTTTCCACTTTAAAGAGGTTGTCTGTGGAGGTGATCCCCTACTGTCTTTTTTTGCTTGTTTTTAATTTTTGAAAGAAGCTAGCCCAAGCTAGCCTTCACACTCCCTGCGCAGCTGAGAATGCCTTGATCTGCTCCTGCTGCCTCTTGCTCAAGTGTTGGGTCGTAGGGGTGTGCAGCTGCACTCAGCTCACAGCTGTCAGCTGTGAATTTTATAGATATGGGTTATAGGATTTTAGCTGAAGGTGCCCTGCTTTTTACCTCCTGTGTCGACGCGGTATTTTCATGCTTCCTACCTCAGTAGAGTGGGCAGGCACGGTATAAGTATATGTGTATGTATATGTGTTATAAGTATATAGTGTGTATGTATATGTGTTATAAGTATATAGTGTGTATGTAGTTACCACAGTGTGGCTCTATGAGCTGTAGGCCAAGTATATTTGAGAGGGACAGAGTTAGTGTTTGGATTAACACTCAGTCACCATTTTTGAGGGGTGCTAAGTGAACAAACGGGGTGACAGTTGCTTTCTCTTGCACTTCTTTGATTATTAGCTAAGACGGTTGAATGGTTTTACGCACCATTGCACTATCTGTGAGTCCCACTTTGTGAGCTTTCTAGCCATGTTCTGTGACTATGGCTTTTACTCGGGTACTCTTTAAAAGGGTGTCTTTTATTCAGACAGAAAGCCCCCTATGTGGTGACACTGGAACCATGCTATCCTCGTCATTTGTATCGTGTGATGTCCTGAGTTGCTCATATTGTTCTAACTGGGCTGGGGAATTTTTTTTTTTTTTTTTTTTTTTTTTTTTTTTTTTTGGTTTTTCAAGACAGGGTTTCTCTGTGGCTTTGGAGCCTGTCCTGGAACTAGCTCTGTAGACCAGGCTGGTCTCGAACTCACAGAGATCCACCTGCCTCTGCCTCCCGAGTGCTGGGATTAAAGGCGTGCGCCACCATCGCCTGGCGGGCTGGGGAAATTGTATCCAGTAGCATGATACTGTTAGCCAAAATCTCTTTCCAAGTATGCTAACAAGGGGCTTCAATTGACTTACGTATGAGACATGATTTCACTGACCTAGAATTCATAATTGATTCTCTTACCTTATCCATCAGGTATGAGATATCACACTTGAGTGGTATACTCTTATAATTAATAGAAGCTTGAACACTGTATGTTTAAAATTTGTCTTATTTTTATTCCATACTTACTAAAAACAATTTTAGCATTTTTGAGATGAACTTATTTCTTATGGTATGAATTTTATAGATATGGGTTATAGGATTTTAAACCCCCCTCCCCACATCTAGCAGTGGCCTCAAGCTCTTCCTTGGTGATGTGCTTGTCTGTGCAGTGAGAAGCAGTTGGAGTGTCTGCTGACGCACTGCATTAAGGTGCCCATGCTTGTTCTGGACCCGCCCTTGCCAGCCAACAGCACCCTGAAAGACCTGCCATCTCTTTATCCGTCTTTCCACGCCGCCAGCGACATGTTCAACGTGGCAAAACCAAAAAACCCTTCGACTAATGTGTCCGTTGTTGTTTTTGACAGTACTAAGGATGGTAAGATTTCTTTCCTATGTTTTTTTTTTTTAAAGATTTATCATTTTGTGTGTATGAGTGTCTTCTGCATGCATGTCTGTCCTCTTCATCCCTGGAGGCCAGAAGACGGTGTTAGATCCCCTGGAAAAGGAGCTCTAGGGAGTTGTGAGCTGCCATGTGGGTCCTAGGGGTTGAGCCGTCTCTCCAGCCCATGTGTATTTATTATTATTATTGGTAGTTTAATTGTTGGGGCAGGGTCTCTTATGTAGCCCTGACTGTCCTGGAATTCACTATATAGACCCAATTGACCTCAGATTCTGAGATCCACCTGTCTCTGCCTCCTGAGCGCTGAGATCGAAGGTGTGTGCTGGTGGGCACTGAGATCGAAGGTACGTTGCTATGCCCAGCTCTGAGTGTATATTTAGACCATGCTATCATCGATATTTAGAATAGCAGAATTCTGAACGAAGCAGTAGTTCAGCTTTTAAGAACCGTCCTATAAACTAAAGATGTCCAGGGAAAACCCCCAGAGCCATTGTCGCATTGCCCTGTGAGCCGCCTGCCATCTCAGGAGAGGGCTGCGGGCACAGCATTGCCCGTGCTGAGTACCCGGGAGGATCTTCGGTCTGCTGTACAGAAAGTGCCTCCACCTCTGTCTCCTGGTGCAACGTCATCCTGGAGGCTGGTTGTTGTTGTTGTTTGTTTGTTTGTTTGTTATTTTAACAATATAACTTGATGAGATCGTGCTCTACAGTTTGGACAGAACACACTGGAGCGTTCTTGGTCTCACTTCAGAAATGGCTTGTCTTCCTTCTACTTTACACGCGAAATCTGAACTCCCAGTGGGATGGCACAGGAGGTTTCTCCTTTGGGAGATGATGAGGGCACGGAGGTTAAGACTTGAGTAGAATTTTTATAATATCGCAGACTTCATGAGTATTATTATATTTTTATAATACTGCAGGCTCCGTGCGCCCCCCCCCCCCCAGGGAGTTGACAAGGTGCCTCTCACTACAGTTGGGAAGAATCAACTTGGTAGACCCTGCCCTTGCCCTTCCAGCCCCTGCCCTTGCCCTTCTGGCCCCTGCTCATATCCTTCCAGCCCCCCTGCTCTTGCTCATCTGGCCCCTGCCCTTGCCCTTCTGGCCCCTGCTCATATCCTTCCAGCCCCCCTGCTCTTGCTCATCTGGCCCCTGCCTTTGCCCTTCCGGCCTCCAGAACTGTGAGGCAGCCCCATCTGCTGTTTGTAAGACATTGGGTGGCCCTTGGAATCTGTCCCTGTGCTGAGATATGACTGCTAAGGCCACATGTGTGAACAGCTCTGGTCTCTCAGTCATCCTGTGCTCTGGGCCTCTCTACCTGGAGACGCTGTGAATTTTACGTGGGTACTGTGAAAGTTGTCGGGCTCCTTCCATGATATGGGGAGAGGAAATATTTTGTCCGTATCACATGTCTCAGCCTTGCTTTTTGTCAGCATCTTTGCCCCTTCCCTGCTTACTTCGTAAACTAATAACTAACCTCATCCTATTATTTGCTTTTATTTTGCCAATAAAAAGGAAAAGGTCTTAGGTTCTTCCCCTGTTCATTCCATTTCCTTCACAGACACCCAGCTGTTCTATCTGTCTGTAAAGCTTTCCTCCTAGCTGGCGAGTAAATCTGAAAATCCAGACCTCGTTGATTCACTGTCTCTTCAAAGACCGTACTTCAGTGATATGTATTTGCTTTTCATACGGATGTGAGCTCCTTCCTGTCCCTGGGGTCGCAGGTTCAGCTTGGCTGTGCCCTTCATTCTCTTCCCTGTAATCTCCGTCAGCTGCCAGTTATCGCTGCAGGTGGTGGACCATGGCTAACGCCACAGCCACCTCTTCACCATCTCCTGTTCTTCCCCATCCATCTCCTCGGTGGGAAAACGAGGGCATCCATGATGCTTTTTGTCTTTGCTTTGCTAACTCCATGGTGTTTGTGCTGTAACTCATAATTTATATGAAATTACACAGGGATTTATGGTTTCCCATGTGATTTATTGACTGAGACAGAACTTTGCCACACACCGGCTTAAGTCACAGAACATGCCAAAATGCTGCTCCTGGCTCTGACGTTATTTTTAGATCGAAGGAAACTGTGAGCTTTCTGAATGCAAGCTTCTTCCCTTCCCTTCAGATGAGAGGAGCCGTCACCTAGTCCAACCCTGCAGCCTGGTCCCAGGACTCCAAGGTGGCTTTTCCAGTCACACTAACACCCCTCAGTTTACGAGAAATGACACCTTTATAGGGCGATTCACGTTACCTCCGTGAATCCGCAAACAGCTCTATTTTTATACACAGGTATAATGTGTGTCCAGTGGCTAGGGGGTGTAATCCCTTCCCCGTGGGGTATTCCTTTCATTCTTGATCCCTTAGTTCTTACAGGATGTTCACTGGGCTATGGGTATCGCTTGGGGGTAGAGCCCTTGTCTAGCATGCTCCCTGTATATGATCATCAGCATAAAAACTTAACAATGTGTCAGCTGGGCCTGACCTTTGTACTTCCTGTGGCTCGCTCTGCAGGTAAAGCAGGCCGGCCTACCCACTTAACAGTATGCCAGGTACTGTCCTCAGTGACAGAGACAAGGCACACAAACAGGTGGCCGTATTCTCTGCCCTGAATTGGCAAATAATTAACAAATAAGTAAGTTACATACTTTGTAGAAAAGAACACAGTAGAGAAAAACCAGATGGGAGGCGTGGAAAAGGAAATGGCAGTCAGGAAATGGGGTGAACATTTGAGTGGTGGGGCAGGCTTCGAGTAGGGGGTGAGCTTTCTAAATTGGTGGGGACAGGCTTCAAGAAGGGGTGATTTTCTTTTTAAATGAAATATATAGAAGGTTAGGGTACCAGCAACATGAATGACCTGATAAAGGCCTATCGGGGAGTTGGAGTAGCTAGGGCAGAGCCCCGTAGTAGGAACAGGAACGTAGCTGCTGGGTTTGAGGAGCAGGAGGCCAGAGTGAGCGAAAGAGAGTGGACAAGAGAAAGCAAAAGATGAGACCAGAGAATGGGGAGGGAGCAGGAACAGGAGGCCAGAGTGAGTGAAAGAGAGTGGACAAGAGAAAGCAAAAGATGAGACCAGAGAACGGGGAGGGAGCGGGTCACGGTAGCCACATGGAACCCAGAGTCTTTGACCCACAGTGTGATGGGGGAATCACTGGAGCTGGTCTGACTTGTGGTCCATGGGAATCTGTTAGCTGTGTGCAGTGTGCATGGACGGTGAGAAACATTTGGATTCTGCCCGTTTTGAAGGTCGGCCGACCTCGGTCCTTGGTGAATACCTCCCATGATGGTTGTTTGTAGAATTAGCTTGTGGTGCCTGATTACAGATTTTACCTTTGCTTGTAGAAGACGGTATTTTGCACATTTGAATCCTTTGAGTCCTTAGTCTACTAGCTGGGACACAACATTGCTGTCAGTTTGTCCACACAGTTCACAAATATGCTTCCTAGTTCTTTTTTTTTGTTTTGTTTTTGGTTGTTTGTTTTTGTTTTCTGAGACAGGGTTTTTCTGTGTAGCTTTGGAGCCTGTCCTAGAACTTGCTTTGGAGACCAGGCTGGCCTCAAACTCACAGAGATCCACCTGCTTCTGCCTTCTGAGTGCTGGGCGGCATGTGCCACCACCGCTTAGCTCTGGTTTCTTCCAGAACTTTGGTGTGGGATCTCTCTTTGTCTCATAAACATGAAGGTGGCGTGAGAATGTTGTGACGATTTGATGAGATTACATGCATGTTCTTTTTTTTTTTTTTGGTTTTTTTCGAGACAGGGTTTCTCTGTGGTTTTGGAGCCTGTCCTGGAACTAGCTCTTGTAGACCAGGCTGGTCTCGAACTCACAGAGATCCTCCTGCCTCTGCCTCCCAAGTGCTGGGATTAAAGGCGTGCGCCACCACCGCCTGGCTTACATGCATGTTCTATCCCACATATCAGACCTACTAGAATTTTCCTATTTACCAGCACATCACCCACAATCCGTGGGGACAGTTACCTGATAAATATGTTTGGAAGTCACAGTCATTCCTAATGTCCATGCTGGATACTGTTCTTAGGGGTGGGGTTGTTGCTGGTGGTGGCCTTTTGAGATAGGCTACCGTGGATGGCCCTGGCTGGTCTGCCGTTCACTGTGTGCAGGCTAGGATTGAACTCTTGACAGTCCTCTTGCCTCAACCTCGTGAGGGTTAAGGAAGAGCGAGCTATCCATCGCTCCTGCCTTCTTTTAGACTGTTTCCCAGGGCCCTGTGTACCCTAAGCAGGTGCTGTCCCGCTAGCTACAGCTACAGCCCCAGCTCCGTTGGTACTAGCTTGAGACTTCCCCAGACCGTAATTTGTAGGTCCCTCCAGAAGATCCAAATGGGAGCCCGCACCCCGAGCTTCCTGTTTCCCTCCATTTTGGATGTCAGCAGTACCTTCGCTGAGCCGCTTGTCCCCTCTTCTTACTTCTCCTGTGGCTGTGTGCCCACCCACTCTGAGAAAGTCGCCTCCTGTGGGCATAGTGGCTCTAAGGCAGCTGCTTGCTTTTCTGTAAACACCTCTGCTATTGTTCACGCCCCCTTCCCTTGTCTGACTACTCTTCATTTGCTGGTCGTGACATTCCCGGAGGTTTAGCAGTCAAACAAAAACCTGGCCCAGGTTTGCTGTTGCATCTGTGAGTTTTCTATCATCCCATCATTTCTTCCTCTGAGTCCAGCTTCAGTTTATGTTTTTCCACAAAGCACCTCACGTTTCTGCCGCCTGCATAAATCTCTTGACAGTGCAGATTTTAATGTTCAGTTATACACCACTTTACAGTATGCCTCCTTGGTTGAATGTGCTAATTTTATCGTCTCTTTTTTTTGAAACCACGCGTTATGCTACTTTAACAGCTCCCCAAATGCTCTGTTGTAGTGTTCTGCCAGAGAGTTAGATAAGCGTTTGTTAAACGTATGTTTGTTTCTTGCATTGTTTCTTGTAGTTGAAGATGCCTATGCCGAACTATTTAAGGGAAGCAGCAAGCAGACAGTTTGGAGAGCCTACTTGGTATGTCATTTTAAATCTGATTGTACTTCTGCATCCGACCAGAATAAAAGTCTGAACAATAAAGCTGCTTTCATTAGGTCTTGCTATGTCCCATCTGGCCTTGGACTTGCAATCTTCCTGCCTGCCCCTGGGAATGCAGGGATTGCAGTCCTGAGCCGCCACGCTTTGCTCCCTAAGAACCTGGCGCCACTGAGCGTCCAGCTACGGTGTCTTCTTACCTTGAAGCTCAGCAAGCACAGCAAAAGCTCACCAGCTTCTCCGCTGTGTTTTCGCCAGCTCTGAGATGAAAGGTGAGCTGAATCTTTTCCTTTTATTTCAGACAACAGACAAAGAAGTCCCAGGCTTGGTGCTGATGCAAGACTTGGCCTTCCTGAGTGGGTTCCCACCAACATTCAAGGAGACAAGTCAGCTGAAGACAAAACTGCCGGAAAACCTTTCCTCTAAAATAAAGCTGGTAAGAAGAGGAAAGGTCACCAGCGTGGCTCGTCTCAGTCCACGCTCGGTTCGACCCTTCCCTCGTGACCCATTGTGCGTGGGTTCACAGTGTAGCCAAGGCAAAGATGAAGTCTGTCCTGTCACAGTCTGCTGTCAGAAAGGCAGATCTGCACAGAAGAGCCTCGTTCCTTCCTCTCTTGCTTGAGACTAGATCTTACTCCAAGGGCAGATTGGTTTTGAAATTGTAGCAATCCTCCTGCCTCAGCCTCTCAAGTGCTGATATTTGTGCATACAAACCCAGCTCTGAAATGACTGTTTTAATAATTTATCTTTTTTTCTTTTCTTTTTTTCTGAGACAAGATTTCTCTGTAGCTTTGGAGCCTGTCCTGAAATTTGCTTTGTAGACCAGGCTGGCCTCAGACTCACAGAGATCCACCTGCCCCTGCCTTCTGAGTGCTGGGATTAAAAGCATGCACCATTACTGCCCAGCTCATTATTATTATTATTATTTTAAAATACGTGGTGTATGTGTGTTGGGGAAAGTCATAAAAGTAGTAAGAGCTCTAATGAGCACATTTATGAAAGCTTTCATTCATAAAGGGGTTATATGGTTATATTTCAGGCATTGATAATGTGGGATGATATGAAACTCTGGTTCATGAACAGCAAATCCAGACATTGATGAATTTAGGACGTGTGTATAATTCTTACCCTTCAGCCTCGACTGGCCTTTTCCTGAACAGGCGTAGATTCAGGACACAGTCCATGTTTTTTCAAGTTGACCTTACTTTCGGCATGCTACTGCCACGTATTCCCGGTGGTAAACACTAGCCTCTCTCTTAGTCAGGGAGTAGTAGAGTCCTTGCCTCTGGAGCTGCAGGGATCTGCTTCTTGAACTTGTGAGATTCTGCCATAGGTTGAGCTTGCCTTCCCAGTTCCTCTCCTTTTGCCATTTAATAGTTTGTGGGGGATGGAGAAGGTGGGGGTCATGGGGCAGGGAGGAAGGAAGTTTTCTCCATTCTTGCGTTAGTCACCCCATCCCAAGTTCCCCTTTTCCTCTTCTCTGGGTCTTACAGTTTAGATGCTTTGTGTTATAAGAACAGTGATAAGGATGCCGCCGGCCTTGTCTCTGTTTTGTATCTCCCCATAGCCAGCTTTGTCTTTCTGTTTCTCCTATTTCTTCCTCTTCATTTCTGTTTGCAGCAGGTCTCGCTACGTAATTCTGGCTGGCCTGCAACTTGCTGTGTAGACTGGGCTGTCCTTGAGCTTGTAAACTTACTGTCCCTGCGGCACCTGTGCCTGGCCGGCCCCTGTAGCTTTTCTTCATTGTACTTTGAAGTACGGTGGGGCTTCCAGCAGTGCGATTGGCTAATACGCAGCACTTGTATGGAACGGAACAGCGCTCAGCTATATGGGGCTGAATTTGTGGTTGATCTGCAGTTATTTCTAAAATAGATACATCTCCTTCCCCTGCGGGACTTTCAGTACTGATTTGAGCAGTTAAAACCATAGATTAGCTTTTGTTTCAGCCGAAGTTTATTTGGCTTCTTAGCTTCTGGTTCCAGAACGACAGATACAGGCGCATCTGTCCTTCCCACTGTTCACGTTCAGACTCTCTTCCTCATGAGGGAAGAGCGACTTCTGTCGTCCACGTGAATCCAAACCTGAAAAGAAATTAGGAATCCACTCTGCTTCTTACGCTTTTGTGTGACTGTGTAACACCCTGCTCTGTGCGGCCGCTCCTCGGTGCTGATGACATTCAGTGTGCCTCCTGGTGGTCGGTGTGTGTGCTCATGAAGATGACAGCTCCGAACAGTGGCGGGCCTCCGGAATCCTGGGCCGCCTGGTGTGTGGTGCGTGGAGGCAGATGGGAAGTACAGTGCTCACTTGAGTCACCAGGGAAATTGAGAACCAGGAAGGTCAGATGTGGTGGCATTTGAGTTTAGTTCTTCAAATCTGTGTGTACTGAGGGGGGTGATACCTGTTCCGGAGAGAGAGGAGCGAGGATGTGTACAGGTGTGTATGAGTGTGTTCACAGGTACATGTGTGCGAGGGTGTGTGTTTGTGGGTGGGTGGGTGAGTGCGGGTAAGTGTGTATTTGTGTGCACAGGTATGTGCATTAGTGTGAGTGTATGTGTGCGCACACATGTGGATGTGGGTACATGTGGAGGCCAGAGGTTGATGTCAGGCATCTTCCTTGGTTACTCTCCACCTGATTTTTTTTGAGCAAGAGTCTCTCCTTGAGTCTTTAGCCTCACCAGTTGGCCAGGCTGCCCGACCAGTGAGCTTTAGGGAATCTGCCTGTCTCCCGTCCCCCTACCAAGTGCTGGGATTGTAGGCATGCCCAGCTTGAACGTGGGTTCTAGGGATCTGACCTCGTGTCTCCATGCTGTCTTCCTGTAGGCTCTGTCTCTAGTTCTATTAGGATCTTCCGAGAACTGAGTTTCCTATCACAGGCTCCAGTCCCTGGATTTTTTTTTTATCAGATACCCCCTGTGTGTCGAGGGGTATGTCAGGGAGAACCAAGGGAATCAAAGCATTTGTTTGGGGCATGCACATTACCAAAGAGAAGTATAAAGTGCCCAAGAATGCGTGGGCCTTAGGTGCATTGGGGGTTAGACAAGCTTTGCAGCCTGCTGGGCCCTGGGCAGAGCTGCTGTTTTTGGGCTGGGAGGGGCATGCAGAGGAGACAGCCTGAACAAAGGGCTGGAGGCTCGGAAGTCTGGGGTGTTTCGAAAGCTTAATTGCCAGAGGTAGGGGAGGCAAGATGGCTGGACCTCATCCCGGAGGCAGGAAGAAGGCAGTCTGGTGTATTTCTAAGTCACAGAGTAGGGACAGGTGTGGTAGATGCTACCGGGAAGAAGCCAGAGGCAAGAAAAACAATTCAGTCCTGGAAGACACTCCTGTTTAAGGGCCTCTGGCCATGGGGATGCCAGTGGGGGAGGAGTTCCAGAAACACCCCAGAGGCACTCAGCATCCTGTGTTGACAAGCTGCGGGGGAGAAGGGAGACTGAAGAGGAGGTGGGTGTGTGTGGTGCTGTGGAAGTCAAGGAGTCACAGAGCGTGTGGGGAGTGCGGGAGTGTTTGACAGACCTGCTGCCATGGGGTTGCCTGGTTAGCATCTGGATAGAAATGGTTCCCGGAAGATTCCTGTGTTGGAACACCCAAGTCTCTGCTGGTGACAGTGTTTTGAGTGGTTGTAGAACTTCGGGGAGATGGGTCACAGCTGGATGTCTGTGTGGTTGGGAGACACCGAGGAGTTTGCAGACGGCCCTGGTTCGCTGAAGGCTAGGTGATCTCATGGCGTAGCCAGGCAGGGTGGCACAGGCAAGGTGTGACAGCTTAGTGAGTCACCTGCATTCCCGCCCCCTCAGAGTTCTGTTCCGGACCCGCTTAAGGTCACCACAAGTTATGTTTTCCATGAAGTGTCTCTAGTCTCAAAATCCAGAGTCTAAAATGCTCCAAAATCTGAAAGTGTCTGACACCAACCTGCCACCACCAGTGTAAGATTAGCTCTACATCCTCATAGGACACTTGGTTTTACATATAGAACTATTTAAATATGTCATCTTCAGGCTATGTGCATAAGGTATATACGAAACATGAATTTCATGTTTAGACTTGAGTTTCATCCCCCAAATAGTTTCATCACATGTGTATGTAAATATTTGGAACTTTTTTTTTTTTTAAGACAGGATCTCACCATGTAGCCCTAACTAGCCTAGAACTCACTATCAAGACCAGGCTAAGCTTCAAACTTAGCCTGCCTGCTTCTTGAGTGCTAAGATTAAAGGTGTATGCAGCTGTGTGGGGCTGAAACAAAATAGACACTGGCACACCTTTTATCCCAGCACTCTGGATGCAGAGGCAAGCAGATGGTTGTGAGTTCGAGGCTAGCCTGGTCTCCATAGCAATTTCCAGGCCAAGTCAAAACAACAACAAAAATCAACTCTTAGCACTAAAACCTTCTGTTCACAACCATTTTAGATAAAGGCCATGTCATATTATTACTAACACTTTCAGTGGCTTCCGTGGAAATATCTCACTTGGCTTTCAGTGCATGGCCTTCCTCTTTATTTCTAAAGTTAGTCAGCAGGTGAAGCAGCGATTGTGGAACTAACTTTAGCTTTGGAACAACCATGAGGGCATTTTCTAACCTAGCAGCCCCCGACCAATGCCTTTTGGTTTGTTCCCGGTTAGCCGTAGCAGAAGTGTTTTTATCCCGAAGTCTTCTCAATAACACACAAATCAACCCAAATTTAAAACCAACTTACAACTTCTGAGTTTTTGAGGTCTTTAAAATGTTGTTGGGGATTTTGTCTTAGAGGGAAGCCCCTGCCCTCCTTTAGGATTTGCCATTCTCCTTCCTAGAACAGGTTTGCTTGCCTCTCTGTATTGGCAGTCATGCCCCAATACAGGCGCTCCTAGGATGTTTAGCAGTGCCAGGGCCTCTAACTTTGCCCTCTCACCACAACCCCTGTGGCTTGAGAAATTTTAAATGACTCTAGGTATATAGTATAGGAAATAGGTGCCCATTTACTGATAATAAATTATAAGGAAAATTTTTGTTATTTACACTTATATTGTGTGTATGTATGTATTTACACTTATATTGTCTGTGTGTGTGTATGTATGTATTTATACTTATATTGTATGTATGTGTGTATGTATATATTTACACTTGTGTGTGTGTATGTATTTACACTTATGTGTGTATGCATGTGTGGAGGTCACAGGACAACTTCAGGAGTCAGTTCTGTCCACTGTGTGGGTCCTCGGGATCAATCATGTATGCTTGGTAGCAGGTGCCATCCATCATCCACTGAGACATCTTTCCAGCCCAGGAGTTTCATTTTCAAATAATTCTTTGGTATACATGTAATTTTTCCATTTATCAAAGGCAAATGCAAATTTCATACTATTAAGGTGGTCATAAATAATTACATTCTGGACGTGGTTGATACTTAAGAATCAGAGTTTTCTGTTTTGTTTTTTTTTTTCTATGCTAAGACTTCTGCTTTCTGGTAGAAACATGTCTAGGGGTATTTCAGAACGTTTGAAGCTGGGGATGTAGGCCAGTGCGTTGAATGCCAGCATAGCGTACCAGAGGCCAGGGGTTGGGCACACAGACCAACCCGAAGTTCCAGCTCCACAGAACTGGCGGCAAAAAGCAGGAGTTCTAACCAAGAACTCAGTGCTTCAGCAGAAACCACAGCTACTCAGGCTTACTAGAGACCAGCCTCCAGCTACAAATGACATTTGCTGCAAAAAAAAAAAAAAAAAAAAAGTGTGTATGTACGTGCATATGTGTGCGTGTGTGCTTGTGTGTGTGTGTGTGTGTGTGTGTGTGTGTGTGTGTGTGTGTATGTATGTATGTATACCAGGATCAAGGCACATCTCAAATCCTTTTCCAGCAGAAGCAGCTTCTAATACTCTTAATAGCTAATAGGGTTGCAGGGTTGGGTTGCCACCTAGTGGACAGCAAAGGATACTTCATGCTCCTTGCCACTGCCCCTTATAGAGGCAGAAAAATCTGTCCTTTAAAGTTCCTTGCTTTTTTAAAAATTGATTTGATTGAGCTATACATTTTTCTCTGCTCCCCTTCCTTCCTCCCCCCTCCCTCTCTCATGGTCCCCATGCTCCCAATGTAGATTAGATCCACGTATGTCAAGTTCCTTGCTTTTTATCTCTTTCAGCTATTGTGTGGTGACCATGAGAAAACCTATTTCTGATTTTCAGTGGTATAGTTAGAAACCAGTCCTGGGCAGCTGCTGGTAGGGACCGGTGAGATGCCTTAGTGGGCAAAGGTGCTTGCAGCCAGATCTGACCGCATTCAGTCCCGTCCACCCATATGCAGGAAGGCGACGGCTCCTTCAGGTTGTCCTCTGACTTCTACACCTGAACGGTGGCATGCCTGCCTTGTCCTCCCACAAAAATACATATATAAGATAAAAAAATTAAATTATTAGAGTATAATTTCTATTTAAGAGTGATTTTTCTTGTTGCACTTCTTACCGAATTAAAGGCCATTCAAATCATTAAATAAAATTAGATGTCATTTTTAAATAATGATGTGAATCTTTGAATTTCTTATTAGAATTCTCAAGCTTAATCTCTGAAACATCTTTTTTTTTTTTTAAATTGATAATGCTGAGTTGAAGGCCAGAACCTCACACACAAGGGTCAAGCAATCCACCTAGACTGTATACATACTTGGCCCAGTTTATTCTCTTGCCAGTAATACAGCAACAGACATTTATACTTAACAGGAAACAGTAAAAAGAAAAAAAAAGGGGGTGGGGGGGATGTGTTTTGTTTGCCTCGGAATGGAAAGCCCTGGCCTTTCAAGGGTGGTTAGCTGGGCTGCTCTGTGACCTGGGACTCTGTAGGAGCCGTGCAGGACCTAGTGACACACAGCACCCAGCAACAGCCCGGTTCCTGCTTTGTTCTCCAGCCAGCGTGGATGGTTTTCTCGTGCCGACACTGGCTGGTAATCCCTGGGCTGCTTGAGTACAGGTGCCTGCCGAGCCGTCATCGGCCCTGCACCCCTTGCTGCCATAGCAACAGAAGCCTGGATGGATGGCACTCAGGCCCAGAGCAGGGCAGGCCCGCGTTTACACTTTAACCCTGCGCAGAAGCTGCTCAAGGCAGTGTCTGCTGCACATCACATGCCCAGTCACCGGTGGGCCTGGTAGTGCCGCTGCTATGATTACCAATAAAATACAGCGCAGACTTGGAATCTGCCTCATAGGCTGGGGTAGGAGGATTGCAAATTCAAGGTCTGTCCGGGAACCTCAGCAAGATCCTGTCTCAAAATAAAAAGTAAAAGGGCTCGTATATAGTAGCAGAGTCCTTCCCTGGCACACATGAGAATCTGGGTTCATTCCTCAGTACCATCCTGAAGAGAAAGTGTCTTGTGTAAACATGCTGAGACAGTTTGATTTTGTTGGTTTGTTTGTTTTTTTTTTTTAACACAGCGTATTTGTAGCAACCTTCTTATTGAGAGTCTGTGCGATTGGCGTTCCCTCGTGAACAGCACCTAGGAAAAAGCAGGAAAAAAAATGCTAGCATAAATCCATCACTAATGACAAATGATGCTCGTTGTGAGTTAGAAATTAAGATCACATTTGGGTATGCTGGTCACGCCAGCGATGTGTATTAGCCTCAGGTCATTAACTGGATTTTAAATTTATCCTAAAGCATTTTTTAAAAAAACTGTAAACTTTTAAAATGTCCACGAGGCTTCAAAATAATTTCCAAGAGATTACGATGCAGACATTTTTCTCACTAAGTTTAAAATTAAATTGTAATATTAAATTACTGTTTATTCTAGAGCAATGGGATTTCCCACCCTAGGGGGCCCTTAGAGGTCCTGTGGGAACCAGGGAATGGGAAGAAAGGGGCAAGGAGTCTTACAGGGACAGGTGGGGACGTGCCTAGGTGACTGCTTCCCAGTCTGCTGGCACACAGAGGCAGATTGACAGCAGGGAGAGCTGATTCCTTGACAGGGTTTCCCTATGTAACAGTCCTAGCTGACCTGGATGTCCTGAAACTCACTCTGTAGACCAGGCTGGCCTTGAACTCACAGAGATCCATCTGCCTCTGCCTCCAGATTGCCGGGATTAAAACTATATAGTTTTTAAAATGAAGATCATAAAAAATCATTTAAGCCAGCTCTGAGAGTTGGGGGGATTTCATAAAAAGAGCCTGACATCTCAGGAGATGTAGAGTCTCCGGTGGGGTTGAGTGGCTACAGCTGTCAGATGATGCCCAAGGTGCCCTGGTCATGCTGTCTCCCACTCCTGTTAACAGAGGTTCTGTCACAATCATCTGGCGAGCACTTTTGGCCTGCGATACTGTCTTTACATTTCAAGATTGGAAGTTAAACAGCTGGTCATGATGGCTCGCACCTGTAATCTCAGCACTTGGAAAGCTGAGGCAGAAGGATTGCCACGAGTCATTCCAGACCCTGAAACTCTGTCTCCAAAAGAAAAAAAAAAAAAGAAAGGTAAATCTGTGTTTATTCCCTGAGGTCCAGGGTGCCCATGTGTATCTCTTGTCTACCAGCTGCAGTTGTACTCGGAGGCCAGTGTTGCTCTTCTGAAACTGAACAACCCCAAAGGGTTCCAGGAGCTAAACAAGCAAACTAAGAAGAATATGACTATTAACGGGAAGGAGCTGACCATCAGCCCGGCGTATCTGTTGTGGGACCTGAGTGCCATCAGCCAGGTGAGGGCTGTAGACTTCTAGACCTCTATAGCTCGGGAATGACTGTAGACCCCTGCAGCTGGGGGAAGGGGCGTGGACCCCTACAGCTCAGGTCAGGAATTCAGAATATGTGCCTTTGTCGGAATAGCTGGAGAGCGGTGGGCTGAGTGTTAAAGATCTAGATGTTGGTTTAGTAGGAGGAGGAGGACTTACTGAGGATCTCCTTAGACTTTTCCAAACTTCCCTTCTCTGCCATTGGTTTGATACTTATTGAAAAGAACAAGGCTAGAGAGATGGCTGTCAAGAGCACTTGCTGTTCTTCCAGAGGATCAAAATTTGGCTTTCGCTCCCACATTGGACAGCTTATAACCTCCTATAACTCTAGCTTCAAGGGATCTCACCCCTTCTCTGGCCTTGAAGGGCACCCACAAACACATACACTCAGTCCCTCACTCATTAATGTCAATAAAAATCAAATAAAGCTTTGGTCAGGCTTGATGGCACATGCCTTTAATCCCAGCACTCCAGAGCAGAACCAGGCAAATTTCTGTGAATTTGAGGTTGGCCTGGTCTAAGTAGTGAGCACCAGGCCTGAAGACCAATCGGATCTAAGATCCTTTATGTAAAGTATAATAAAGAGAAGGTCTCTCTCTCTCTCTCTCTCTGACACACACACACCCCTGCTCACACTCACTTGAATTTAAAGGGTAGCCAAAGCCCCTCTCCTAGTTAGGGTTTCTTTTGCTGTGACGAACACCATGACCAAGGCAAGTTGGGGAGGAAAGGGCTTGTTTGGCTTATACTTCCACATCACCGTTGTTCATCAAAGGAAGTCAGGACAGGAACTCAGACAGGATAGAACCTGGAGGCAGGGGCTGATGCACAGACCGTAGAGGTGCTGCTTACTGCCTTGTTCCCCAGGTTTGCTCAGCCTGCTTTCTTATAGACTTCAGGACCACCAGCTCAGGGATGGAGCCACCCACAGAGGGCTGGGCCCTCCCCACGCATCACTGATGAGAAAATGCCCAACACTCTTGCCTGCAACCTGATCTTACGGTGGCATTGTCTTAGCTGAGGTTCCCTCCTCTTAGATAATTCCGGCTTGAGCCAAGTTGCGATAAAGATATTCCCCCTTAGAGCAGGCAGAGGGTAAAGACGAGGAGGAAGAGCTGGGGCTTAGCGTAGTTACTTCACGTCTTTATGTGCTGCACGATGTCTCCCCGACCTCCCAGTCCAAGCAGGATGAAGATGTGTCCGCCAGCCGCTTCGAAGATAACGAAGAGCTGAGGTACTCTTTGCGGTCTATCGAGAGGCATGCGCCGTGGGTTCGGAATGTCTTCATAGTCACCAACGGGCAGATTCCATCCTGGCTGAACCTCGACAACCCTCGGGTGACAATAGTCACCCACCAGGTGCGTGACTCCACAAACGTCACCGGGCTGTGGTCTTCTCTCTGTGCCTTCAGTGTGGTACAGTGATCTCGGCTTCTCTGCCTCCACGGCCACCTTCATTGAATCAGCACAGCCTCCTCCCTTTCCCCATTCTAAGTGCCCAGCCCACTCAGCACGGGGCTTCTGTTTACCTTCTGTGCTTTCTGTTCCAGGACATTTTCCGAAATCTGAGCCACCTGCCCACTTTCAGTTCACCTGCCATCGAAAGTCACATCCACCGCATTGAAGGGCTGTCCCAGAAGTTCATCTATCTAAACGACGACGTCATGTTTGGGAAGGACGTTTGGCCGGACGACTTCTACAGTCACTCCAAAGGCCAAAAGGTGAGCGTGAGGATGGGCGGGCGCCTAGCTGGACGGTCACTAGCAGTGGAGGAAATCCACTCGGGTATCTGTGTATACATTTCTATATGCAAATGTGAAATACGTTTCTGCGGGTGTCTGTGTATACATTTTTTGTTTTATTTTTTTTAATATTTATTTATTTACTTATTATGTATACAATATTCTGTCTGTGTGTATGCCTGAAGGCCAGAAGAGGGCGCCAGACCTCTTTACAGATGGTTGTAAGCCACCATGTGGTTGCTGGGAATTGAACTCAGGACCTTTGGAAGAGCAGGCAATGCTCTTAACCACTGAGCCATCTCTCCAGCCCCCTGTGTATACTTTTCGTTACGCAAATGTGAACCACTTTGCGACTGTGACTCCCAGGCTCAGGAAAGTCTGGGTTGAGCAGAAAGCAAACAGCAGCAGAGCAGAATGTTGCTCTCCTTTGGTCTCAGATAAACAGAACCCCCCCCCCCCCACCCCTTTTCCTCCTTGACCCTTAGACTTTGTACTGCAGCAAACCCACTTTGCAACAAATTTGTGGCTGGCACGACAGCAAAATGACCAACAGGCAAAATGAGCTTAAAGTGTTTCAGATGGGGAGGGGGCGAAGTTCTGTGTACGGTGGCCCCTCTGTTGTGGGGAGGCGTAGGACACAGAAGGCTTAGAACAGCTGGGCTGGAGAGCCTGCTCCATTGAACTGGATTTGTTTTCTGTGCTGGGGGTCAGCCCCAGGAAGTCAGACACACTAGAAGACTACTCTCTCATAGAGCCAAACTGTAACCATTGGCAGCTTCTAGTTTCAGTTTAGAGTTAAGAAATTAATTGGGAGTAAGTGTGCTGTGGCAAGGAAGGGTGACTTTAAAAAAGGAGGGGCATGTTTTTCTCTAGCGGGTTTAATTTGTAAAGTAACCAAGGATTTAATTTGTAAAGTAACCCTGCCTTCAGGGATCTCAAATGCTGCAGGAATTAATTTGCCTAAACACAGCCTTAGGGTGGAGATAATGGCTGCCAGTGTTGCCTTCTCCTTCCTCAGCCTTGAGGCAGTTATGCCGAAGATCACTGGGTTACGAGTGAGTGTCCTGGAGAGAGTGAGTCTTCATGTCTAAGTCTGACACATTGCTATTTTATTTAGAAGAATATTTTAAGAGCATGTTATTAAAACTAATCCATGAGCCAAGCCCTTGTTCTCTGAAGCAAGTGGGGAGGAAGAACTGTGCTCAGCAGGTTAAACTCTGCCGTGGGCATTGGCCAGCCAAAGGCGGTGCCCACGGTCAGCAGGTTAGCTCTACCGTGGTCATTGGCCAGCCAAAGGCAATGCCCACTATGAGCAGGTTTAGCCCTGCCGTGGACGTTGGCCAGCTGAAGGCAGTGCCCACTGTCAGCAGGTTTAGCTCTGCCGTGGGCACTGTCCAGCCAAAGGCAATTCCCACTGTCAGCCAGTCTTTGGGAAACTTTTGAAGTTCAGCGTTTTTTCTAAAGGTGTTTTAATCCAAGAGTAAAAAGCATTGGAAACTGTTGTAGCATCTCTGATCTTGTCGCAGGTGTATTTGACGTGGCCTGTGCCCAACTGTGCCGAGGGCTGCCCGGGCTCCTGGATTAAAGACGGCTACTGTGACAAGGCCTGTAATAATTCAGCCTGTGACTGGGATGGCGGCGACTGTTCTGGTAAGGACATGCTCTACGCAGCTTGTTTGTGTCCTCATCCTCATTCCTGAGAACGTGTGTGTGCCGTTGACTGCTTACATCACATGCTGAAACGTTCCCGAATCCAGAGATCCCTGGTCGGTGTTACCGTGTGGCCTAGTTGATTCGTGGTATTCAATAATGGATCCATTTCTCTGATGTAGGCTCTGCACTGGAAAGCGTCTTCTGTCATTACTTGAAGTAGCTAGAATACCCTTGATTATGTAAACCTAAGGATTGTTGTAGTAATAGGGGCGGCGGGGCTGCGTCCCCAACACCCCAGCCGCCTGCCAGGCTAGCTTATGCCCCGAAATAATTACACGGACACTGTATTCTTTTAAACACTGCTTGGCCCATTCTCTTCTAGGCTAATTCTCACATATTAATTTAGCCCATTTCTAATCATCTGTATGTAGCACCCCAAGGTGCGCTTACCGGGGAGATTCTAGCCTATGTCCATCCTGGGTCGGAGCTTCATCCCGTGTGTCTGCCCGGGAGCGGGGCATGGCGTCTCTCTCAGGCGTCTGCTCCTGAGAGCAGAGCTGTTGTGACTCTGAGCTCACTTCCTCTTCCTCCCAGCATTTTGTTCTGTTTACTCCTCCCACCTATCCTCTAACCAATAAAATGGGCCAGGGCAGTGCCTTTATTAGCCAATGACCTTCCTCCATCATTTCCCCTTTTTCGGTTTAAACAAAAAAAAAGGCTTTAACTTTAACATAGCAAAATTACATATAACAAAACAGTTATCAAGTAAAAGTTACAATAATCTTTATCATAACTAAGGAAAACTATAACTATAACTAACTATTCTTAACTCCATCAAAGACTCCAGAAAGATACAATGCTACCTAAGCAAACAAGAAAAAAAGCAACTTTTTTTTTTTTTTTTTTTTTTTTTTTTTTGGTTTTTCGAGACAGGGTTTCTCTGTAGCTTTGGTGAAAAAAAGCAACTTTTAAAACTCTAGAAATGACAGAGACATCTCGTTGCCTGGACAGTCACCCAAAGTTCCTCTGTACCGTTGGGGCATCCATCTTCAGCCTTCAGGCCCATGGTATCCAACAGACATTTCCATAAAGCAGGAAAATTCAAAGTCAGTTCAGTCACTATCTGTTGTGTCCTGCAGAATGTCTCGCAGACTCTTTCATGAATCAGGAACCCCGAAAGATCATCTCACCTTAGGCAAGTTCAGTAGTCCTCTCTCTGTGGGTTCTCTGTGTCCAGTTTATGCAATAGTCCAGGCAAGAGCAGTTTCTTGCCCAAATGACTATCAAACTCCATAAGGTGCCTCTTCGATGCCCATCTTCCTCTTAAAGTACATTGGTGCTGCCAGGAGCAGAGTGTCTCATTGTCATGAAAAGTCCTCAGTTATTAAATCATTAAATGTCCTATTCTGTAATCTTTGAAAGACATGAAGAATGTCTATCTAAAATATATCTCTATATATCTAGAAAATCTAACTAACATGACTACAAGCTTTACTATTATCAATGATTATCCATTAACAACCTATATTTCTTAATTATACATTACATTTTTAATAATGAACTACACAATCACAATACCTTAATAAAAATCAGAAACACTTATATATATATATATATATATATATATATATATAACAAAATTGACCTTAAATCTCTATCAATAAAGCAAAATCTATACTAATGTAAATTATTCATATCTATATCATATCCCCCTTTAAATGTAAAAGAACATTTATAAACATTTTTTGGGAATATGGGCGCAGTTATTTCTCTCCAAACTGCTTCCTGCTGAATGGGGGCGTCGTTAATTTGGTCTTTCATGGTATAACCTGTGTGCTAGTTTCATCTCAGTTGGCAGTTGAGCGAAGCAATTTTCTGAAGATGTTCACACCAACCCTTCAGGAGGGCGTGGTCCATCATACCAAATCGGAATAGAAGAAATGAACAGCGCCTCATCCTCTGTGAAAACAAAATAAGAAACTCCTTTCCAATGTATCATATCCTTAGATCTTAATTCAAAATATCTATGTTGGATTAGTTCAGCAGCATTTATAAATAAATATCTTTTAGCATCTGTTGCTCCTTCCTCAGCATTTAAATAATTTAAAGAGAGCATAATAGCATACAGTATCAAGATTCTCTGTGTATTTTCCATCTTTGTGCAGCTTTGTTTTAACCTCTATTTTGTTTATTTTGACTTCTAACTCTTTGCTTTTTGAGACAGGTTCTCTGTATCTTTGACCTGAAGTAACTCTGTAAACCAGGCTGTCTTTGAACTCTCAGAGATCTGCCTGTCTCTGCCTCCCAGGCATTCGGGATTAAAGGTGTATGCTACTACACCTTGAACTCACAGAGATCTGTTTGCCTCTGCCCTCTAGGCACTGGGATTAAAGGCATGTGCTACCACACACAACAACTCTCTTCCTTTTTTTTGTTACTTTTTAAGAACTTTAAATTTTAGTCTGCATATATTTTTAACACACTTCAAACCATTTAAAAATTTTCTTTGTCTTTGAATCTCTCTTTACTGTATATCTCTCTTTTTCTGACCACACGAGCCTTTAAATTATTGAGCAATATGAGTAGGATTAAAGGCGTGGCTTTGCCAGCTAGATCAAGTCCATTCCTTAGCTTTCCAGCCTCATGGCTGAGGTACTGGCTGTAGCCACGTTTACTGCGACAACTCTATGGCATTTCAAGGTCCCTGCCAGCAAGTGAGCTACAACAGACAACACTCAAGTCCTCTCTCTGTAGTTGGCCCTCCTGCCTCAAACAGTCAGAGTTTGCCCTGGCAGGATGGCCCAGAAAGCCGGCATTTTTAAACGGCGCAGCTTTTTTCCTGCTACGGCTGAAAACCGAAAAGCATGCGTTCAGCTTTTCGTCAACACCGTTCAAGTGTTTCGTGGCAGGACCTCTTAATGAGCTGCAGGGTTTTGCAGCTAAAGCTGAGTCAGGAAGCCTCTCTTAGATGAGGCGCTTGCTTGCCTCTAGCAAGCAGAGTAGACCCGAGAAATTGTCACTATCAAGAAAACATGCTTTACTCTTTCCCAAGCTTTTTCAAGCTTTCTGTGGATTCAGTTGTCCACATGGGCGCCAGATTGTTCCAATTGGGTCTGCAGGACTCCATGGCAGAAACTTTAGGTGGGAAACTGTAGGAGAGTGTAAAATGATCACAGTTGCAGAACAAACCATGCTTATCCAAGCCTGCTTCTGCGTCCAGAGCACCAGGATGAGGACATCTGTGCACACTCTTTCTCAGAGCAACCACCCCGCCAAATGCCCCCCCCCCCCCCGTGCTATTCTCCTTTGGACTCGATGTTGGCACTTTGGAAAATATATTTACTTACTATTTTTCAGTTCATAAAGGTTCTGCAACCTTCATTACCCTCTTGATCTGGCGGGGTGGTTGCTCTGAGAAAGAGTGTGCACAGATGTCCTCATCCTGGTGCTCTGGATGCAGAAACGGGCTTGGAAACGTATTGAGTATTAGAGGAAGCGAAGCGTCAAAGCCGAGTTTAGTCTTCTCTGTCAGGTGCCCTTTTGTAAAACGTAGGCAGCAGCAGGGAGAGGATGCGGGTGTATAAAGTAGACCTAGCAAAACATTAACACTGGAGATGTTATTGCCTGTGTCTGGACCTGGTTTGGGGAATTCTGAGCCGTGGTCCTTGGGATAATCTCTTTCCCTTCTCCAGCTGTGCTCTCCCCGTGTTAATCCACTGTCTGTACTCAGCCGGGTAAACTCCCTTCCCTTAAGGCACAGGGAGTCTCCTGTTAAAGAATGGGATGAGCCTCTGTAGCTGCAACCCCTGCAACGGTCTCCACATTAAAGAATAGGATGAGCCTCTGTAGCTGCAACCCCTGCAACGGTCTCCACATTAAAGAATAGGATGAGCCTCTGTAGCTGCAACCCCTGCAACGGTCTCCACATTAAAGAATAGGATGAGCAGTAGGATCAAAAACCGTACTGGCTTTGGGGGAGCCTAGGCAGTTTGGATGCTCACCTTGCTAGACCTGGATGTGGAGGTGGGTGGTCCTTGGACTTCCCACAGGTCAGGGAACCCTGATGCTCTTCGAGCTGATGAGGGAGGGGGACTTGATCGGGGGAGGGGGAGGGAAATGGGAGGCAGTGGCAGGGAGGAGGCAGAAATCTTTAATAAATAAATAAATTTAAAAAAAAAAAAAAAATGAGATGAGCATCTGTAGCTGCAACCCATGCATCAATCTTGCAACATTAGTAAGAAATGATGAGCTGTCTTCTTTCACAGTTGTAAGCCCAGTAAAGACTCTTCCTTCCTCCTCCCTCTACAGGTAACAGCGGAGGGAGTCGCTTTGTTGCAGGAGGTGTGGGTACCGGGAATATTGGCGTCGGACAGCCCTGGCAGTTTGGTGGAGGAATCAACAGTGTCTCTTACTGCAACCAAGGGTGTGCAAACTCCTGGCTCGCCGATAAGTTCTGTGACCAAGCCTGTAACGTCTTGTCCTGTGGTTTTGATGCTGGTGACTGTGGACAAGGTATGTTTATTGCCGTGGAAACATTAGGAACAAGGAGCTAACTCCACAGACAGAGGAGCACTCAGTGGGTGTCATTATTGAAAGTAATTTCCAAATGGGCAAAAAGTTGGAAATTAGTCATTGAAATTTATTGATTTAAAATTATGCCCCTATCTCTATAGTGAACCAGGGACAATGTCCCGTGTAAACTGCTATGGTCAGTTCAAATGGTAGGGCGGCCACATCCCCAGACCTTGTATTAGAATTTGTGAGCATTTTAAAATAAATTTCAAGTCTTGAGCCCAGAGAATTAAGAAATGACATAAGAATGTCTAATTAAGTTGGCTGGTGGTTGCACATGCACTCAGGAGGCAAAGGCAGGTGGATCTCTGTGAGTTCGAGGCCAGCCTGGTCTACAAGAGCTAGTTCCAGGACAGGCTCCAAAGCTACAGAGAAACCCTGTCTCAAAATACAAAACAAAAAGTGTCTAATTTAAAAGAAACCATGTTTGTGTGTTTTTTCCTCTAGATCATTTTCATGAACTGTATAAAGTAACTCTTCTCCCGAACCAGACACACTATGTCATCCCCAAAGGTGAACACCTGCCTTACTTCAGCTTTGCCAAAATCGCCAAGAGAGGAGTGGAAGGCTCCTACAGTGACAATCCGATAATCCGGCACGCGTCCATCGCGAACAAATGGAGAACCATTCATCTCATACTGCACAGTGGGATGAACGCAACCACGATCCACTTTAACCTCACACTCCAGAACTCCAACGATGAAGAGTTCAAAATCCAGATAACAGTGGAGGTGGACACAAGGGAGGGGCCGAAACTGAACGCCACAACCCAGAAGGCCTATGAAAATTCGGTTAGCCCGGTGACACCTCTTCCCCAGGCCGAAATCCCTTTTGAAGATGTTCCCAAAGAGAAACGCTTCCCCAAGGTCAGGAGACAAGATATAAACACCACAGGGAGATTCCAGCAGGAGGTGAAAATCCCCCTGGTAAATATTTCACTCCTTCCGAAGGAGGTCCAGGTGAAACTGAGCAACTTGGACCTGCAGCTGGAGCTTGGAGACATCACCCAGAAAGGATACAACTTCTCCAAGTCAGCCCTGCTGAGGTCTTTCCTGAAGGGCTCACTAGATGCTAAAGGAAAACCTCCGTCTAGAAGGACCGACGAAACAAATGACCGTCTGGAGGCCCCACAGGAAAAGCCCTCTCACAGAAGCCCAGGTGGCTTTGTTGGTGGTCAGAGAGCAGAGAGACAGACATCCCCAGTGGGGACAGTGGACACGAATGGCCGTGACCCTGGTTTGAATCCACCCCCGGTCTTGGAGAGCAATGCAAGATTTAAGTTGGAAACTCAGGCCCCACGTGCACCAAGCATGAGTGTATCCAGAGAAGACCTCACCGGGAAAGAGGAGGCAGGAGGCGGAGCGGAGGGCGAAGCTGACAGCCCCATAGCTGTAGAAGAAGTAGTTCCTGGAAGGCGGCTGCAGCACTACACGGAGACTTACCCAGGCTTTTTGCCTTGGGAGAAAAGAAAGTATTTCCAAGACCTTCTTGATGTAAGTTTGATCCAGCTTTATCCCCTGTCATGCCCACGAACATAAATAGCTTCTTAAGTGGTAATATTATAGTAACTATCATTTGTCATGCACTGAGGACTGTTAGTGACCAGGTGCCACATTTTGTAACTCAGTACACGGTGGCACCTTTATCTCTTGTTGGTAGAGTCTACTCTGGGCTAAACAGTGTTGAGTTACGTGGAATCCTCCTTACAGGAGGAAGAGTCGTTGAAGACACAGTTGGCATACTTGACCAACAGCAAACGTGCAGGACGGCAGCTGAAAGACACGTTTGCGGACTCGCTCCGATACGTCAATAAGATTCTCAACAGCAAGTTCGGATTCACGTCCAGGAAAGTGCCCGCCCACATGCCCCACATGATCGACAGGATTGTCATGCAAGAGCTACAAGATATGTAAGTCTTAGTATGCTCGACATTTGTGTATTTGCCCCAGTGAGCTACGGCCTTCGAAGATGCCATGCAAATACGACGTGAAGACAGAATACCGTATGTACCTTGAATATCCAGAGCTCTCCGTGTGTTCTCTCTGGACAGGTTCCCTGAGGAATTTGACAAGACTTCATTTCACAAGGTGCGCCACTCGGAGGACATGCAGTTCGCCTTCTCATATTTCTATTACCTCATGAGTGCAGTGCAGCCCCTGAATCTTTCCCAAGTCTTTGATGAAGTAGATACAGACCAGTCTGGTGTCTTGTCGGACAGGGAGATCCGAACGCTGGCTACCCGGATCCACGATCTGCCTTTAAGCTTGCAGGTAACGTGTTGTTTCGGCCCTAAGCTTGTGACGTGTCGAGTGAGAAACACAATTCTGACAGGGCCTCTTTTCCTACTGCATTTCAAGTAAAGGAAATTCTGGATATTTAGTGTCCGGGCTAGTAACTCCTCATTCATTTATTAATGCCGGACATAAAATATTTGAAATTTGTGTTTTACAGATTATTTTTTGTGGCCTTGCATTGGGGTAGTCGTCTGCCGCCTGAGGGGAGAGGCAGGTGATAGATACCTGCATGTGAGCCTTGTGGCAAGTTCATTCAGGGTATGGTGTGGGACTGACGGGGACTCTCAGCCAGGTCCCTCTGTGATCCTTAGAAACGCTAAACTCATGTATGGAGGTGTTAAAATGATTGAGTTGCACTGCCTTCTTCCGCGTGAGCCTGCAGCACCTTGTGAACACAGGTGTCTCACAGCCCTGTGTTCTAGTTCAGATGAGGGTGAAATATTTGTCATTGTGCTGTCTTAGTTTGCTCTTTTGAAATGTTTATACTTAGAGTCCTACTGATTTTGAGTCCTTTAGAATATCCACTTAGGCCGGGCGGTGGTGGCGCACGCCTTTAATCCCAGCACTTGGGAGGCAGAGGCAGGCGGATCTCTGTGAGTTCGAGACCAGCCTGGTCTACAAGAGCTAGTTCCAGGACAGGCTCCAAAACCACAGAGAAACCCTGTCTCAAAAAACCAAAAAAATAAATAAATAAATAAATAAATAAAAGAATATCCACTTAGAGACCGTCACATAAGTTTTTATCATGAGTTTTCCTTTTATTTCTTGAGATTACATATAATTATATCATTTCCCTTTCCTTTACATCCTCCAGGTCCTCTCACGTACCTCCCTTTCTGAGCTTTTTCAATTTCACGGCCTTTTTCTCCCCATTGTTGTTAGATACATGTATGTACATGTATGTGCATGCATCTGTGCACTTCTGATTGCATAAATTCAACCTGCCCAGTCTATAGAACGTGTGCACATGCTTTCTGTTTTTAAACCACAGTTTTTATCTGTCATGTATATAACAGGTTTATGTTTTGCTTTGGTTAGGATCTGACAGGTTTGGAACACATGTTAATAAATTGCTCAAAAATGCTTCCTGCCAATATCACTCAGCTGAGCAATATTCCACCAACCCAGGAAGCATACTACGATCCCAACCTGGTAAGTATCGTGTTAATCCTTATCGGGTGTATCACCACCGTTGCTGTGTGGTACACCGGAACCAGAGGCTATGGAGCAGTACCCGGTCACTTACATCCTGCCCAGAACCCCTCCCCACTCTGTGAATATGTTAAGTTCACGTTCAGATTGGTTACCTGGATTCCGTAAACAGACACTCCAGTGACCAAAGGTAGCGGTACCAGTGAGTAACCCCAGAACTCTCTTGGAAAGAGAACGCCCCAAAGAAAGACGGCAGCCGGGTGCTGCTGGTCTTCCTGGCTCTGTGGTAGATGGCAGATGAGCTGCACACACCTCTGGCAATATCACTTGTCTAAAGTAGTGAGGAGATTGTTCATCGTAAGAGATGTGAGAATATGTGTGCCTCAGAATTGATGAATGCTCAGACACAATACACTGTTTAACTGGGTTTTGTAAGCTGTACATGTGATATGTGGGAAAATGCTTAGAAAATCAGCTGGATGAGGAGGGAAATGGGAAGCATACACTCTGACTTGAATAATCAAAAATTCCCTAATGTAATCCACCTCTTCTCGGATACCAGAGCATACACACCTCAATATTTTAAATCACAGCTGGGTTTTGGTGTTGTTATCTTGCATTTTCCATATTTTGTACAACGAATAGCTCTTGCTTTCATAATTAGAATAAAATTCTGTTAAATTTTTCTGGAGGGGAGAGGTGGCCCGGTGGTTAAGAGCACCTTTTGTTCTCGCGGAGGACCTGGGTTGGGTTCCCAGCACCTACATGTTGGTTTACAACCATCTATATCATTCCTGTAACGCAGCTGGCTGGTTCAGTGGAAGGGTATGTATGTAGTCATCTTCTGTCTCTGGAGAGAATAAAATCATTTCTAGGGCCATAGAAGTTAAGTTATGCAAGCTCAAGAACATTCTCGGGAGAGTTTGTAAACAATAATAACTCTTTTCTAAATGCTTCCCCAGATTTAGTTACGCCGGTTCTGTCAAAGCTCATACAGTCAAGGCATTTGTAGGTTAGTTACCTCTTGGTTTTTGCTTTGGGTTTTTGTTTCTTTGTTTTTAATTCTATTGCCAGCCAGGCCTGGTGAACATGGTCTGGAGTCCACCACCTGAGAGGCAGAAGTGGGAGACAAGTTTACAGTCAGCCTGGGCCTCCTGAGTAAGTCATGTGCCTGAGAGAGCAGAAATAATAACTAAATACTTAACTAGGCCAAGGGCGGGTCATTCGTTTTTCATTTTGTTTGTCAAGGTAACCAAATTGCTGTTAGTTATCAAGGACGTGAATGCACCCTTTCTCCTCAAGAGGGAAAGTAGGCTCTCTAGATTGCCAGCCCCATCATGACTTTTCAGACATCTTTTCTTACACATCCTGCATGAGCTCGGCTAGGGTGCCTGGCCCCTGAGCCCCGGGAACTCTTGGTGACCCTTGGGTTCAGCGCCCAAGGCCTGTGCCTCATTTGCTCTTTCTCGCCGTGCCCTTGGTGTCTGACCCTCTTGTGTTCTCTCGTAGCCGCCAGTCACTAAAAGTCTTGTCACCAACTGTAAACCAGTAACCGACAAAATCCATAAAGCGTATAAAGACAAGAACAAGTATAGGTGAGTGGCTGGTGCGTCTTTGCTCAGCTCCTGGACAGTTCCGAAGGCCCGGCACGGTTGTCCCTTACGGTGTCTTATTAATTGTGCATTCATTCCAAGGTCATGTGAGATTTCCTCCCGGCAAATCTAGACGCAGTCATTTCTGTGTACGTTGAGTCCACTCAAGTTTTTGTTGTCTGTTTTTGTTTTTTCTTATGTTTTATTTTGTTGTTTTTCAAGACAAGATTTCTCTGTAGTTAAAGGCATGTACCACCACCACCACCCGACTTCATAAAGTTCTTAAGAAAGCTTTTATTAATGAAATTTTGTTTTTCATTTCCACATATTTATTAAGCTCTCTCAACATATCTGACCATTAGGTTTGAAATCATGGGAGAAGAAGAAATCGCTTTCAAGATGATTCGCACCAATGTTTCTCATGTGGTTGGCCAGCTGGATGACATAAGGAAAAACCCCAGGTACTAACTTTTAATTTTTTTTTCTGAGTGACTATAAAATGTGGTTATTTTTTTCTTTGTTTTTAATTCTATGACTAAGAAAGGAGCAAGCAGAACTAGAGAGAAGGGAGTGGCTTATTTCAGTGTGGAGTAGAGAGAGACGCTCCATGGAAATGACATAGCGTGAGTTAAGTGTGAGGTTCCCCATGCGGGGCCTCGCAGAGATGGGGTCCAGAGTGGACTGGACAGGAGAGGTGGGGCTCACAGGCAGTGGGCATTCAGTATTTCTAAAAAGGTTCTTCCTGAGAGTCGTGCTGCTTAGCCTGAGTCCCTGGCGCCCTAACATGCAGGAAGAGGGGTCTCCTGAGTGGGTTCTCTAACTGCTGGGGCAACTCACTGGCTGTTTGAGCCCGGGGCTTCTTAGCCTTTCTGTTTTCTATTTTGTTTTATCTTATTTTTGAGACAGGTTCTCAGTAGCCCAAACTAGCCTGAGATCTGCCTCAGCCTCCTGAGTCCTGAGATACAGCTAATTTCCTTTGTGAAAAACTCATTTCCTCTCTGGTTCTTTATGTAGGTTCTTAAGATATCCCTATGTCCTCTCTATTTTTCCATAATTGGTAGTTGGATCTGAAGGATTTGTTAATTTTTTTTTAAAATTTTGCTGTTTTCAAATGTACCGTCACAACTTATTATACCCTTAATGGGACCTTGGTGTAGTGATTTCTACCTTAAAGAAAACTTCAACCAGAAGGGATGCCCCCATCCTAACCTGGTTCTTCTGAACTCCAGCCTCTCAGCTTGGTTGGAGATACATTGATTCAAACCTCAGAGGTCTGCACTGTAGGACACCAACTCTCTCCAACCATGTGAGCATGACATAATGGGCAGCTTGGAGAACCTGTTTTACGTGGTTACTGATTTTCCCCTTAGCTGCTAACAAAATATCGCAGCCAGTCAGGTACATACATCTGGCCGCACTAAGTGGAAGTCATTTATTTATTCCCGTAGTTACATGGATCTTTAGAAATTATCCTCCCTCGTTCCCCTGTTTTGCAGGTGAGGGACTCCCCCAGGAAGCTCCATCAGCAAAGGCACCGATGCTGGGTGCGGGCACACTGGGAACAGTTTTGGAGCCCAGATCCCTCGCTGGATTGGGTCAGGCTCATGTGTGTGATGACCAGTGAGTGACGTTAGCTTTCTGTTTCAGGAAGTTCGTTTGTCTGAACGACAACATTGACCACAATCACAAAGACGCCCAGACGGTGAAGGCTGTTCTCAGGGACTTCTATGAATCCATGTTTCCTATCCCTTCCCAGTTTGAGCTGCCGAGAGAGTATCGGAACCGTTTTCTTCATATGCATGAGCTGCAGGAATGGTAAAGTCTGGTTTTGCATGCACATGTGTGTGCTCGTGTATCCACATACACATCCGTATCTGGATTTCAGATTGCTGACATTTCTTTGATGTGTTATCATCTGATGTGTAGTTTAGGAAAATATAACTACAATTTTTGTTTTATTAAACATTTAAAAGACGTTTACTGGCATTTCAAGAGATTTGAAAAAATATGTGACTGAATTTTTACAGTTTTACTGAATGAAACTTCATTTATTCAATTGTTTGTTGACCAATGCCAAAATAGCAGCACTGACTTGGAAGATCTTGTGTCGTACAAACCAAGAGGCACATGAAGTCAGCATGGCAACCTTTGCTGCCCAGACTGTCAAGCAAGCTTTCAGAACCAGTAGAAACTGCGTAGATCATGTCTGAAAGACTGACATTTGGTAAAGCATTGTCCAGAAATTATCTGCAGTGGTTGGGAAGGATGAAGACAAGAGAAGACTAGTAACAACTGAATGGAGGTCGCGGAGCACAGCTCCCATCTGCACAATACAGTTCAGGCCGTTTATGTATCCGTGGTGCTCGGGGTGAACACTGGAAGTGTTATGTGGTCCAGACCAGAGGGGGAATAACACAAGTGATAAGGTTTTCCCCTACAGCAAGGTGTCTCAGCTCATGGCAGAGCGTACCTGCGGTTGTTATGGACCAAGGAGAGCTGGTGAGAGAAGTACCCGTCTGTTCAGGATGCACCGAGGGTGCCAGTCTGGGTGTCCCCAGCTTGGTTATTGCAAAAAGAGAAAAAGATGGTCCTAGACTGATGGTAGACCCGTAGACATGACCTGGGGCCTAAAAGAGCTAGCAAGATCCAGAAGCTTTTCAGTCTCTCTGAAGATATGTTCTCAAGAAGCCCTTAAACAAAGAAGGGAAGAAGCCCAGACCAGCACCCAACATTCAGGGTCCTGTTAATCCACATGTCCTACAACATAAACGCTGCTGTTTGCTCTGAAGAAACAACACACTTTAAAAAAAAAAAAAAAACAAGGAGAAGGTTGCCTGCCTGCCTCAGCCTCTTGAATGCAGGATTTTTTTAAGTTAGGTTTTTTAAAAATTCTATATCAGATTTTTTTTTGTTAGCATATATACAGCATTTTAACACTGTATACTCTGATGTTTGTTCTGTTCCCTTACTCTTCATCCCTATCTCCCCATCCTCTTGTTGGTTCCCTTTCCTCCATTTATACCCCCTATTTCCATGTGATATGTATATTCACTTAGCTCCCATTCCCCCACCCATGTAAGAGTTGTTCTTGCCCCCTCATGAAGTTTTGTAACTTCATAACCTAGGCACACACAGGAATATATACAGATTAACCTAGACACACAGAGGAATATATACAGATTAACATAGGTATACAGAGGAGTCTAGCTTTTTTCTCCTATCTTGAGTATTCCCGGTTGCATCCATTTTCCTGTTAATACCACGGTTTCATTTTTTTGTGGCTCAATAAATCCCATTGTGTATGTGGACCATATTTTCTTTATCCCTTCACCTGTTGAGGGACATCTAAGCTGCTTCTGAGTCTTAGCTGCCGTGTATAGGGCAGCAGTAGGCACGGCTGTGGAGGTGTTCCTACACACACGAAGAGTTCACTGATAGCTTGCCAGTGACTGTCTAAGCTTCTCCACACTCTCAAGCAGAGACTTAATCCTGCTAATCTCTCTGTGTCCAGGATTTTTTTTTCTGAAATAAATGAATGTGAATGAATGAATTTTAAAAATTTTAAGGTCTACAAGTACTGTTCTTTTGAAGCTGAGGAGACATTTACTACTGGAGAACAGCATTTATTAAAAAACAACAGATCTAAACTTGTGTTAGAAATGTGTATTTTATTAACATTTTAGAGTTGACTATGCATACTGTCTTTTTGCCTTACTATATGCACAGTATGTTTTTGTAAAACTCAGTAACTCTTTGTGTCCGAACAGGAGGGCATATCGAGACAAGCTGAAGTTTTGGACCCACTGCGTGCTAGCAACACTGATTATATTCACTATCTTCTCGTTTTTTGCTGAACAAGTAAGTTGTCTCCATTTTGCATAGATCTAAACAATGTTTCTAGGTGGACCGTATCAGCCGTCTCTCCAGCACCTAGAAATGAACTCTTTGCAGTGCAACCCATTCATAACCAGCGTCTTATTTTCAAATGATTGTTGATAAGTATAGAAAACATTGAAAGGATTCTAATATAGTTTTTAACTTTCTTATAAAAAATAATCTATTCAAACTCAGAATTAATGTTCCGTTGATTAAACATCAGCAGTTCCTTTCACCTAAAAAAAAAAAATCAAATGAAACTGGACAGAGATCTTGAAAATAAATGTCTTTAGCAATGGCTCTCCCTGCAGGTCTTTGAACAGTGAACCATGAGCCAACATCATTTGGTCTCACAGCTCTGTGGGAACATGCTTGAGCACATTGACTATAGCGCTGAGCAGAACTGTCAATTGCTTTTGTTTGGGAGGAGTGTGAAGGGAACTTGTTTCAGACTGTGGCAATGATCAGGGTCACAGAAGGAACACCTGCTTCACCAACAGTCTCTCATCAATATGGAAAACTAACGCTGATTTTCTGCTCTCCATCATGTAGATAATTGCCCTTAAACGGAAGCTATTTCCCCGGAGGAGAATACACAAGGAAGCTAGTCCAGATCGAATCAGGGTGTAGAAGTTCTTTGTTTGCAATCACCTACCTCAGCGTCTCCTGCGCATCTCACACCTCACCATCAGGGGGTGTCTGCATGATGTGATGCAGACACAGGCATGTCCCCATGATGCAGTGCAGATACGGGGTGTCCCGTGATGTGACGCACAGACACTGGGGTGTCCTGTGATGTGATGCAGACATTGGGGTGTCCCCATGATGTGACGCACAGACACTGGGGTGTCCTCATGATGTGACACACAGACATGGGGGTGCCCTCATGATGTGACACACAGACACGGGGGTGTCCCATGATGTGACACACAGACACGGGGGTGTCCCGTGATGTGATGCGCAGACACGGGGGTGTCCTCATAATGTGATGCGCAGACACTGGGGTGTCCTCATAATGTGATGCGCAGACACGGGGGTGTCCCCATGATGTGACGCACCAACACTGGGGTGTCCTCATAATGTGATGCGCAGACACGGGGGTGTCCCATGATGTGATGCGCAGACACGGGGGTGTCCCATGATGTGATGTGCACACACGGGGGTGTCCCCATGATGTGATGTGCAGACACAAGGATGTCCCCGTGATGCTGTGCACTGACACCGGGGTGTCCCATGGCGTGACACAGACACAGGGTGTCCCCATGACGTGACACATGGATGGCCTGCTCGGAAGAAGGGACAGCGTGCAGACCGTGTTCTCCTGCAGCATGAATAGAGCCCACTGCCCTGGAATTATCAGCACACTGAGACCTGGCGTTGGCTTGTACTTTTAAGGGATTTGCCGAAGGATCTGTCAGCTTGTTGATGGACCCTCGCTGACAAGCTGCCGGTTTCCTCCCACAGTTCCTGTGGCCTGGGAACAAGTGCTGAGGGACCCCAGGCTTTGCATTCCGAAGTCCTTTGGCCCTAACTTTCCACCTTTTTCTTCTTTTCCTTCATTTCTCATTTTTAAAAATAAGTAGCGACTAAGCTGTCCTCACTTCTGAAAATAACGAAATCAGAATGTCCAAATGTTTGTATAGATCTTATTTAAATAATGTAGAGCTATCCTTTCCTTTTAGCATATCTAAATTATTGATTTTTATGAGCCTTCAAGCAGTCTTGAATCACTAATGACTACTGCAGACCTGGGGGGGTTGATGTTGGCAGCACTTTGTTTAACCTAGCCCCCAGGATGCCGGGATTTCGTCGGCAGGCCTGATTGCAAAGGGCTAGTGTCAAGCACCGATGCTACTCACCAGATGTGGTCATGTCTTGGCAATGGACACACTCAAACAAAAGTGCCTCACTTTGGAAATGAGTAGTGCCGACGGCACCAGCACGCGGCGCTGGCGTCCAGCTGAAAATCCGTCTCTCTCAGCAGCTCACTTTCAGCCTGCCGTGCGGGAACAGCGGTCAGCCAGCTTTTTCTAAAAGAACAGAGAGCGGATAACTTGAGACACAAGCTGTCTTTATCAGACAGTCTTCTTGGCTTAATTTTTTTTTGTTTGTTAGGTTTGGGGGGGTTTCTTTTATTTTTGTAAACAGCCCAATAGAACCAGCTTTAGCTCACAGCTGTACAAAAACAGGCCCCAGCCAGACTTGAACCACAGCCTCATTTTTATGTAAACCCCAACATTAGCCATGCTCCGTTATATCATTGTATAGTGGTTTTGTGAGGCCCTGATTCCATGAATCCGCTCTGAATTCTGACAGATAGCTCCAATCATGATTTCAATGGTGTTCTTCCCAAATGGCACACACTTTTGTAATAAGAACTTGAAATGTAAATACCATGTTTGTGCTGTAAATTCTGTGTATTTCAAAACCGAAATCTCATAAAAAGATCACATTTACTGATTTGAGGGTTTACTATTATTATTTATTGTGTATGAGTGTTTTGCCTGGATGCATGACTCTGCACCATCTGTGGAGATCAGAAGAGGGTGTCATAGCCCCTGGAACTGGGGTTACAAATGGTTGTGAGCCACCATGTGGGTGCTGGGGTTTGAACCCGGGTCCTCTGGAAGAGCAGCTGGTGTTCTTAACCGCTGAGCCATCTCTCCAGCCCTATGCTTTTAGCTTTAATAAAGTCTTTGAAGATTGGTGATATTACTGTCCGGAATCAACAGTCTTGAATGGTCGTCTGTGGGGAGTGTTCAGCCCTCTGGCTCTGCAGTGAACACAGTAAAGTGTGAAGTAGTGTATGGAAAGGTTAGGATTATCACATACTAGAGAACGCTGCTTTGTGGGATGGGGAACAGATTCAGAATGGAATTTGTCCCCCCCCCCAAAAAAAAATTGTTAACTGGGTATTTTTTAAAAACTGAGAATTGATTTTGGAAAAGTTATAGATACTGGCCATTTGGATGTAATATAGACTTCTACAGTTAGATGAGTCTAAGGTTAATAAGTTTGGTAGCACAGTGGATGATAAAATACAAACATTCGTGCAATCATTTATCTAATGATTCAGCAGGTTGTTGGGAAAGAATTTGAACAATGAGTGGCCAGAAAGTTTCAACCTTAGAACCGTTCACTCAGATGGAATTTTATAAAAGGTCAGAATGTGATTTGAGTCCATTTGTTGTACAAAAATAAAATATGATATGCTTGTCGTCCCTGCATTCAGGAGGGTGAGATAGAGTTGCAGGAGTTCAAGGCCAGCTGGGATACGTAGTTCCAGGTAGCCTGTGCAACAGAGACTGCATCACAAAACCAACGCCACAAGGAGTAACGCGCAAGCATGAGTGAGTGTGAGGGACGGAAATGCGTGTCCTAGTAGGGTTGACAAGTCCAACGCTGGCAGGTTCGGTTGTCGCCGAGCACTATTCTGCTTCCAGGTTGACCCCTTGAATACTGTGCCCCCCCAGAAGTGATGATGCCTTGTGCTAATAGGGCAGACGGCAGGAAGACAAAGGAGACAGGTTCTTTTCATTGAGCCTTTTATAGGTGCCACTAATCATGATCACTGAGGTTCTGCCCTTGTGAGTTAATCACTCCCTCTTAGCACTGTTACAGGGGTGATTAAGTTTCACAGAAATCCCCCTGCCTCCTGGGTGCCTGGATTAAAGGTGTGTGCCACTGTAACCATCTTATGTATTTATTTTGTGGGTGTGGGGGGGGGGCATATACATACCATGGCGTACCTTTAGAGGTCAGAGACCAACTCGTCGCTTGTTCCTGTGACGTGGATCCTGGGAAGCCAGCTCGGGCCATCAGACTTGACAGCATGTGCTTTCACGTGCTGCACAACATCACCAGCTCCGGTAATAGATTTTTCCAGACTAGCATGGCGGTCAACATTTTTCATTCCAGAATCCTGAAGGTAAGGCTAGAAGGTAGCAAGTTCAAGGTCTACCCAAGCTTCTTAGCCAAGGGGAGAGGGAAGAGTTAATACCCCAGATCCAGTGATGAAGGGGGCTTCTTAGTCTAACTGCTCTGTGCGTCCCCCTTGTTCTAGTTCCAGCCCTATCTTAAAATTCTATTAAATAGCAGGCAGTTTTTCTACACACATGAAATTCATTTCTAGGTACTGAAACACGCTTGGGTTGCAAATGATGTAGGTGCCGTAAACTTCTTTAAAAAGAGGAGCACCAGAGACACAGCCTATGTGTGTTCAGTTGACAGGCTCGAGAATCTTCTAAGAGGCAAGCCACTGGGCACACTCCTAAGGTATCATCTAGGTTAGGTCAGCTGTAGTGGGAGACCCATTCTACCCATGGGCCGCACCTTTGTGGCAGCCCAGATGTGAGGAAGTCTGAGGGGAGCTCTTACCGTTGCCAGTTTGCAGGAGCCTCTGCGGGTGAGGGTGTCTACCGTGTTGGCAGCTTTCCTAGCCTGTGGCTGCCCCTGCCCAGCTATTGCGGCTGCTGTCCTTTGTTGGCACCTGAGCCCAGCTTCTTCAGCCTTTCAACAGAGGCTGAAGATCATCGGCTCTCCAGGAATCCCCTGGGGCCTGCGGTACCACATTGGAACTGCCCAGGCACCCAGCCTCGTGCACTGAGCAGTCACCAGGTAGCGGGTGTGCAGACAACCATTGCGGTACTGCCCAGAGCAGACAGTGGGAGCCAGGCTAACAAATCCCCCTTTAGTATATGCGCATTCCACCTGTGACCTTCCAGAGACCCCGGCTAATCAGCCCCGCCAGGACTGTTGCTCATCTGTCCATCTCGCCCCTTTCCGGTGTCTGTTCTATCCCCAGAATGAAGGCATGCCTCCTAACTCACACTCTTTTTTTAAAATATTTATTATGCATACAATGTTCTGTCTGTGTGTATGTCTGTCGGCCAGAAGAGGGCACCAGACCTCATTACAGATGGTTGTGAGTCACCATGTGGTTGCTGGGAATTGAACTCAGGACCTTTGGAAGAGCAGGCAATGCTCTTAACCACTGAGCCATCTCTCCAGCCCCTAACTCACACTCTTCAGGGAGTCCAGAAACTTCATGTCTGGTTTAGTATAGAAAATCCTGGTTGGGAATGAATACAGTGATTTGTTTATTCTAGGCGCTGTGTACTTCTGGCCTGAGAAATGGATCCTTTCATCCAGAGGAGGCTTGCGAAATCGACAAGAGAACTGCCCCCTGTGAAGCTGTGTGTGTGTGAGAAGAGAGAGACAGAGAGACCAAATTCCCTGAATTGCCCAAGTTGAAGGTAAGCTGCTATACTTGAAAGCATTGCAAAATTTAAATCTGGTGATTAAAATTCAACCAAGGTAAGGCTAAGTGTTGATAAAGAGCACCATAAGGACTCTGTAAATTTGGCTGATGTGTAGCTCGGTGCTGGAGTACCTGCCCCTTGTGCACATGGCCTTGGTGGAGGTCCCCAGCACAGAAAAAAAACATTTATAAAAATATAGCAATTAATATAAACTTAAAATTAATAATTGGTCCTTCCTTCTGCTTCCCCTCACCTGCCAACTTCAGACTTTTACACTGTGCCGGCAACATGGTATTTTCACAGATATGCTGTGCATTTCTCGGTTGGCCTGTGCGAATCTTACTGCTTCACGTGCCTTTTCCTTCTTACCCATTACTCTCTGATTCACGCCGCATCGCTGTGGTCTATCACTAGTTGTTTACCTGCTGTCTTAGTTAGGGTTTCTATGGCTGTGATTGAATACTGCGACCAAAAGCAAACCTGGGGCAGGGGGAGCATTTCTTTCATCTTGCAGTTAAACAGTCAATGGTTGAAATCTGGACAGGAATTCAGAAGCAGGAACCTAGAGGTTGCTATTGAATCAAAAGCCATGGAGGGGTGCTGCTTACTGGTTTGCTCCCTGCTGTTTGCTCAGACAGCTCAGGACCACCTGCCCAGGAGGTGGCACCTCTTGCCATGGGCTGGGTTCATCTACATCAATCATCAATCATCAATCAAGAAAATGTCCCTACAGGCTTGCCTACAGGCTGATCTTTTGGAGGCATTTTCTCAATTGTGGTTCCTTCTTCCCAGATGATTCCTTAGCTTCTTCCAAATTGACAGAAAAAAAAATAGCCAAGGCATACTAAGACATTAAGTTATTTTTATTTCATCCATTATTATTGTGGGGAAGGGGACAGTGCCCTCTTCTGGCCAGCAAGCATACAGACAGACAGAACACTGTATACATAATAAATAAATATGATGGATTACATTGATAGATTTTCGTATGTTGAACCAGCCCTGCATCCCTGGGATGAAGCCTATTTGATCATAATGGATAATTTTTCTAATGTGTTCTTGGATTCGGTTTGCCAGTATTTTATTGAGGATTTTCGCATCGATGTTCATGAGTGAGATTGGCCTGTAATTCTCTTTCTTGGTTGAGTCTTTGTGTGGTTTTGGTATCAGGGTATTGTAGCTTCATAAAAGGAATTTGGCAATGACTCTTCTGTTTCTATATTGTGAAATACATTAAGGAGTATAGGTATTAGCTCTTCTTGGAAGTTCTGGTAGAATTCCGCATTGAAACCGTCTGGACCTGGGCTTTTTTTGGTAGGGAGGTTTTTGATAACAACTTCTAATTCTTCGCGACTAACAGGTCTATTTAGATTGTTCACCTGGTCCTGGTTTAGCTTTGGTATATGGTACTTATCTAAAAAAGTGTCCATTTCTTTTACATTTTCCATAAATCTTTTAAAAAAAGTGCCTCCAAAGATCGGGCTGTAGGTGAGCCTGTAGAGCATTTTTCGTGAGGGCCTAGCCCACTATGGGCAGTGCCAGCTCTGGGCAGGTGGTCCTGGATTCTGTAAGAAAGCAGGCTGAGCCAGGCGCACACCTTTAATCCCTGCACTCAGGATGCAGAGGCAGGTGGAACTCTGTGTTTGAGGCCAGCCTGGTCTACAGAGCAAGTTCCAGGACAGCCAGGGCTACACAGAGAAACCATCTCCAAAAAAACAAAAATAAAAAAAAAAAAACACTACCCCCAAAAGAAAGAAAAAGGAAGAGAGGGAAGGAAAGAAAGCTGAGCAAGCCATGTGGAACAAGCTAATAATCAGCACCCCTGGCCTGTTCATCAGTTCCTGCCTCCAGCTCCTCTCCCTGTTTGAGTTCCTGTCCTGACTTCCTTCAGTGAAGGACTATGGATGTGGAAGTATAAGCCAAATACTCCACCCCTTCCCCCACCCCCGCTGCCTCTTGCTTTGGTCATGGTGTTTCATCACAGCAGTTTCAGCCCTAACTAAGACAGAAGACAAGAACGGCAGCAGGTCCCTTAGGCAGCAGTACTGACGAAGTTTCAATTAATATGGAAAGTAGCCAGCATCTGCAGCAGGGGCTCTCAGCCGAACCTCAGTCCCAACACACCCGTGCTCTCTCCCCAGAGCCTCTCTGCCTACTGCCAGCGTGTAGACATGTCTTGATTCTCACTGTCCCTATGTT